CGGTTTGATTTTTGTGCTTCATGTGAAACCATAAACAATGAAGCTGTGTGTTGAGAGCACAGCTAAAGAAGAAATTTTGAACAGCATTGCTGACAAAAGATGAGGTACTGCCATAATAAATTAATAATTGAGCTAGATTATTGTTTGGCTTTCGAGAGAGACTAGCTGGGTTACAGGACAGGGTATTATAGTAATCAAAAATACCGACCACTTTTTAAGTGATTCCCATCCATAGATCTTACGAGGACTTACAAAGATGGAAAGTTGCCATTATTACTATTCTAAAATGAGGATATCAGGAGGCATAAAAAGATAACATGACTTGGAAGTCAGTGGCATAGATGAGTGCGCTTGCTTCTCAGATCATCTGCGTTCAGCAGTTTGCCATCTGGGCATCAGGAGCTTTTGCTGAGTGAGCAGGCCCTTTCCCAGCGCCCCATCAGCCTTTCTGTAGGGCAGCCTCTTCCTTTCTCCAAGGGACTCCTCCCAACCACTTCAGTACTAGACCATTTCTTTTTCTGATACCTGTCAACTGTCTCTCAGGTAAAGCTTTATCTTCCCATATCCCTGTCTGCCACGTACCTGCCTACCTTAATTGTTTCCTGTGAGAGCATTTACTCTCAGGTTAAAAATAAGACATTTCTAAGGTGTTAATAGGATGTGTTGCTAAGGGGCGGCTCACTAGTATTCAGTGCCTTCATTTCTACAGTATTATGGCTGATCAGTAGCAGGCTTTGCTCTTCCCGGATGCTGGGTTCACCAAACCTCATCTTTTAGAAGCAGGAAAAAAAAGTCATGGCCCATTCCCATGCAAATTTAACTTTTCTGTTCCTAGAGGTGGGAGTAACCATTGGGATCGCCCTGCTAGCACTCCTTTTGCTTTCATTATCTTAAGTGCTATGTATTAAAGGGTAGAAAGAAGAGATGGAACAACTTTGCAGACCTTTGATTGCTCTGTGAAACAATATATGAGATCCAGGACACTTTGGGATGAAGTTATCCCTTTCCTTAATCTCTGGGTCAGTGACTGAGAGAAAAAGACGAGGTGTCTTGAGAAACCCTGCATACCTTGTTCTAGTGCTGTGCTGTATAGAAGCAGACTTGCTTTCCAGGTCATAACACAGCCTTCCTGTCAGGACTGCTGGCGGTGAGGTGAAAGCTGGGTGCGATATGTGGGATTAATGCCCAATACATGAAATTGTAATGTTGCATGACATTGTGTGGAAAGATTATTAAAGGGTGTGGCTGGAGAGGCAAGAACTTAGATCTAGATTTTGCCTTTCATCACATTAGGTTTTGAACAACATTTCTCAAAGAAATACTGTCTCAGAGCTAAATACTCTGTGAAAATAGCACTTTCTGCTGTAGTTTTGCTTCACTTCTTGCAAATAAACACTTCCCCCTTCAGCTGATAAGGTCAGATTCGACTCATTACTGCGTGTGTTTGTGGGTGGCTCAGTGGCTAACGGCACTGCAGTTCCAGGAAAGCGTGCTAGCTAGAAGTCCTTTTGGTTACTTTGGATGTGGAAGGAGATTGTGGTCTACTTTTCTCCTGAGTGCTAGGGTTGTCTCTATAAAGTCTCGAGAACGCTACTGAGGACTAGTTTGCTCAACAGAGAGGAGCTGGCTGTGTTAGAGGTGCTGCACATGAACAGCTGAGTACTGACACTGAAAACCACCAGGATGATTAAATTCTCAGAATTGACAAAGACAGTTAAACACTCCATCAACTTGATAAAACCTGTTTTTTCCCAAGAAGGAGGTTGGGTGGAGATAAAAAGTGTGTACCAGGAGCTTCTTGATCAAAATGCGTCATCTATGTATCACCCTACCAGTTGCTCCCCTGAGGCACATGCATTTCAGATCACAGATACGAGAGCCTGAAACAAGGAAGGGTTCTAGCCTGAGCTAGAAACCTGAGAGCGCTCCACTGGGGACAGCGCTTACATCTGCCCTTCTCTGCTTCAAATCTGCCTTCAGTCCGGTTGGTAAGAGTTACCTCAGTGCCTGCCCTGGATCAAACAGGCAAGACGAGGACAGGCAAACCGCTTTTAAGTCCTGCTTTTCCTCATTTCCAGCTAGCTGAAGCTGCACTCAGAGAAAGCATTAACTGCAGCACAGAGTGTTTATCTGATTTTTGTGTAAGCAGGCTCGCTACACAGCAGGTGTGGTTGGTATAACAGCAGCTGTAAGGAGGAGGAAGTCGAAAAGCAAGGCTCACTCTTACCACCATCATCATTGCTACTGAGCGGGAGAACCTGCTGATGGCCTCAGCGATGGCCCTTAACCCAACACGTTGAGAGCTGAAAGGCTGGACAACATCGTTTTTAGCCACAGGAATTGAGTAAATTAAAATCCAGATTGGACAGGAGAGCAAAGTATAAGGCATATTATTTGCTCATTGTTCCAATCAGTGACAGGAAAGTATTTATTTGTCTTGTTAATAGATGGAGAGAGATCAATAATCAATGACACATTGCTACTTTCTGCTGAAGTTTTCTCTTTATGTGAGAAAAAGACATGTTTCTTTTAATGTTTTTTTAAATGTCTTTTTAATGTCGTTATATTTAAGACAATACTATTGATCGTAGAATGTAAGCGTATTGATAAACATATGACCACACACATGGCCACATATGTGCGTGGTCATGTTTATCAACATACTTATATCCTGTGTGTGTGAATATCTATATATCTATATGCGTGCATGCGCACAGAGATGCATGCACATGCTCCATTTTACTGTTCATTGGTAACTATCACACTGACAGCTAATTCAGCTAATAAAAAAATGTACCAGCCTCTGCACTCGTACCTTTGCCAAAGGGGAATCTTTTCAGCAGAGGTTGCTTAATGTCTCTGTGTATTTTCACGGTAACTTTTGTTATTACATTTGAGTGCTGAAGTTAAGAATCCTCCTCTGTTTTTGCCATCTTTCATTAAACCACCATATGAGGAACTGTCCTGGAAAAAATGGATGAGCCCAGTCTCTCGCGTGCTTTAAGACAGTCCTCTCTTTACATATGACAGCTGTAGATGTATTTCCTTAGTGCTGTCAAAATTCCTGTAAATTTCAAGGCTGCTGTTTATTTAGAGAGGAAGCATGAACATTTTATTCAGGGCAAATATTTGCATTCGGAGGCAATGCCCTTCAGAGGACAGCAGCTAGAATAAGGCTCTGGAGACCCAACTGCGTCTGTCTCTGCCGATGACACCTCATTACTAATTTGCACTGTGTTAATAACTGTTTATCCTCAGCTAAAAAAGAGATCGTGTGGTGCTTTTAACTGACAAAGCACTACTTGCATCAACTGGCACTTTTAACTTTAAAAGCACTACTTGCATCCCCTATTATTTTTAGCAGCTCTAACATGCTGTGGGATGTATATCTGAATCTGTTGTTTTTTTTTTTTTTTTTTTAAGTGAATACTCTTTTCTGTGAGAGATGAAAAGACAGAAACAAGAAGCTGGACTGATAGCAAGAAATCTAGGAGAGCAGACCAGAAGGATAAATACAGCATTTATATATCAAAGCGAGGCTACTATCTCCCTTTACTTAAAAAAGTGCAGCATGTGAAACCATAAAAGGACTAACATTTCGGAACGTACTTGATTCAATGGCCATTCTCTAAAAGCAGGGGGGGCAAAGAACTATTAGAGTAAGAAATAAAAGTGGGCAAATAAGAGTCAAATCCCCATGCCCATTAAAACACCGGGATATGGGGTGAACAGGCTATCCGAAGGCGTTAGAGGATTCAGCAAGATGATTTTGGTGATGGTTAGCCCTGAAATCATTGTTACGTAGGGAAGGTTTTGGCTAAACTTGCCCTTGGAGGATTAAGAAAGCCTGTCCCAAGGCGCGCCTTCTCTCTGTGTCTGTGCCCTGCCCTTGTGGCAGTCTGTCTTTCCCCAGTGGTAGGGCGACGTGAGTCCGGGCAGACTGGCTGTGCAGGTCTCGCTGGCCTCCTCCATACCAAGGGTGCGCTTCAGTCTTACAGTGATCAGGGCAGAATAAAACTCGTGTATAGCACCAAGAGTCCTCTCCTGCAGTACTTCTGTCCTCTGCCTGTTGATGGGGAAGCAGCATGGTATTCTCTGAATCAAAAGGAGCATTAATGGATTTCATGAATGAGTAGGAACAGAATAGCGTTCTCTCTTATTTGGGGAAATTAGAGACAGATACAGACCTGACAGTTCGTGGACTTTTTTTTTTTTTTTTTTTTTTTTTTTGGTAAAAAGTGTCCAGTGTCGTGCTCTGAGCTGTTAGATCAAATTCACACAAGTTGGTCAGTATTACCCCGAACACTTTATTTACTGCATCAGTCTCTTTGACAGTCAATGCTCCAAGGACAAGATGAAACAATCTTAGTGTCCTGCCTCGCATTAATTCTCTTAAAAAACGGTGGACGTGTCAAAGGCTGCATAAAAGCTAATGAAAGTTCCACATCAGCAATTGCCAACGATTTTTAGTACGCTGCCTTTCGCCATCAGCACTTCCATCTCTCTTTGTAAAGAGCTTTGAGATCCTTGAACACGTAAGATGCTTCACGTCTCTCTATTTCTTTCTGAATGACAGTGTAGCTGTATGGTTAGATAAGACAAGTTGGTCTCCCAGTGAATATAGAATTTAAGGCACAACCTTATCTTCACATGAAATAGATTATAAAACCAGAACATAAGGTAGATGACAGGTAACGACAGGGAGGATGCACAGGGGAAGCATGTAGATGGCTAAAAAGGAGAAAACCTTTTTCACAGAAATTGTAAAATAAAAGAAGTTGATGGGTCCCTTTCCTCTCTTGCAATCTAAAAGCACATGGACATGAAACCTGCCGTGTGGGTGGTTG